GTGACACTGACACAGAGTGTGACACTGACACACTCGTGTGACACAGACACAGTGTGTGACACAGACCCAGTGTGTGACACAGACCCAGTGTGTGACACTGACACAGTGTGTGACACTGACACACTCGTGTGACACTGACACAGAGTGTGACACAGTGTGTGACACAGACACAGTGTGTGACACAGACACACAGTGTGACACTGACACACTCGTGTGACACTGACACAGAGTGGGACCCAGTGTGTGACACTGACACAGAGTGGGACCCAGTGTGTGACACTGACACAGAGTGGGACCCAGTGTGTGACACTGACACAGAGTGGGACCCAGTGTGTGACACTGACACAGAGTGGGACCCAGTGTGTGACACTGACACAGAGTGGGACCCAGTGTGTGACACTGACACAGAGTGGGACCCAGTGTGTGACACTGACACAGAGTGGGACCCAGTGTGTGACACTGACACAGAGTGGGACCCAGTGTGTGACACTGACACAGAGTGGGACCCAGTGTGTGACACTGACACAGAGTGGGACCCAGTGTGTGACACTGACACAGAGTGGGACCCAGTGTGTGACACTGACACAGAGTGGGACCCAGTGTGTGACACTGACACAGAGTGGGACCCAGTGTGTGACACTGACACAGAGTGGGACCCAGTGTGTGACACTGACACAGAGTGGGACCCAGTGTGTGACACTGTCAGTGTCACACACTCACCTGTTTGTGCACACACATCAGTGCACGTGCACACACTCTCACATTATCACACACAGCTTTAAAGCCGCCTTTTCCAAGCCAAACAGCAATTCTGGAATATTCCAGACAGGAGGATTTTCCTCATTCACCTCAATCCACCCAACCCCTCCCCCCCGCTGCAGCACCCACTGCTGCCCAGTGCCACCTCCTGCCTCGGTACCCAGCTCTGAGCTGCAGCCATGGCTCAACTTGGGGTTTATTTTCTGCCCCAAACCCTTGGTTGGATGAAGAAAGTCTCACTGGACAGGAAAGCATTCATGAGAAGCTCCAGAGTTTCTTTTCCCAAGAAAAGGCCTGGCTTTTGATCAAAAATAAGGATTAAAAAAATGGAATTTAGAAAAAAAAAAAAGTAAATCAGGAAGTAATCTCCATGCCTTGAAATTAATTATTTCCAGGAGATGAATTCCTGCAGCCTGCCTCTGGTGCTGCTCCCCTTCCCACACAGCCATCTCACCCATCCCAAAATCCTTTGGCTGTGTCTGTGGTGCTGCCCAAGCCCCCTGGGCCCCAGGCAGCAGGATGGCTCCATCCCCAGAAGCTTTTTGCCTGAACACCTCCAAATGTCATAAAATCTCCAGCTCAGGATAAACTCAGCTTCTCCCGTGAGTCCTGGGCCGTAAAAGCAAAAAAAAAAATACCCAAATCTACTCAAAAACTTTCTCAATCCCTGCAGCAAAACCCTGGGGCTGGAAAGTCTTCAAACAGCAGACAGGGGGTAGGGGGCACAGGGGGCACAGGGGGCA